TTCCGTGTTTATTTATTTATCTCTAGTCTTGTATTGGTCCTACTTTATGTTTATCTCCAATCTTGTACTAATCTTATTTATCTCTAGTTATGCAGTAGTCCTAATTATTAACTTATATTTATATTATTTAATTATTTTTTTATAATAATATCTATTTGTGAAGATTTGATTATATTATAGATGGAGGTTAAACCTTGGGATTAAAATGAGTAGTTATCACTGAGAACGTGGTTAAAATTGGGCACATTTATCCTGACTAGTCACTACAAATTTAAATCTTCATAAAATAGGATGTTTGAGAAAGTTTATATATATATATATATATATATATATATATATATATATATTATAAGATTGTATTATTTTAAATTATAATTGTTCTCATTCCTTATTGTGATCTTTTATGCATGATATATTTAAATATTAACTTAAATAGATGGAGGTGTCAAACATCCAAAATCTTTTTCTGCAAGTATCACTATCTTCTTTCTAGGAACTACTTGGAATAAAAACGTCATTGACAACTCAATTACTTTTAAAGGAACAAGGTTATCAATATTAACATTTGCATCTGATATGAAAACTTCAATTATGCTAGATGAACCAATAGTGGTTACCTTTTGTATGTCCCCTACCATTCATAAAAATCCCTTAATCAGTTTGTTTCCACCAACAATGTAAATATTTGTATAATTGTAGTAAGAATAAAAGAAATACAAAATAAATAAAATTCCTTTTTCTTTTATATATCCTGTAAAAAAAATAGTAATGTAAATTACTTATATATATATATATATATAATATTTTTATTTTACCTGCTAATCTTGTTAAATAATAATTGAAAAAAAATGCGACATATATATATATATATATATATATATATATATATATATATATATAATTATTATTTTATAAAACGAATCGATTTATAAGTTTCTGAACTAGTCTAACTTCATGACTTAAATGGGTCGGACTAAAATAAACCTAATTTAATTTAAATCACAAATTTTTTACTCTAACTTGAGCTGATTTTTTTTTTACCTTTTAGATTGACGGATGGATTAAATCTATTTTAACACACTTACTAATTATGTTTACTAATTATGTTCACGGGTCAATGAATCATTTTTGGTAAGTTTGAAAAAAAAACATGATATATATATATATATATATATATATATAATTTATAAAAAAATATTTTTAAATTTAAGTTATATTAATATAATTAATTTTAGTTTTATAAATAAAAATTAAAATTGTATTCTTTTTATTTATCGTTACCATTTATTTTCTATTTTCTAGTAATCTAATAATCCAAAATATTTATTCATCTTAGTTATTGGATAAAAAAATCAATTATAAAGATAAAAAAATAATTATCTATTTTGTATTTTTTAAGGGAATCATCGGATAAAAGACACGTTAACTTTATCAGTAAGAGTTAAAATTTATTTTATAAATAGGACGGAGAAAATCAGTTCAGCCCATCTAACATGACTATATCAGCAAAGTAAAAAAAAAAAAAAGAATAGATGGCTCGACTTAATAAATATATATATATATATATATATATATATATATATATATTATTTTTTAAATTTAAATTATATTAATAAAATTAATTTTTATTTAATAATTTAATATATAAATTATAAGTTCTAACTAAAAATTAATGAGATCAAGAGAAACATATCTTCATTCCAATTACCTCAATCAATACAAAACTCGAGTACACTTGAACTCTCCATTCTGATATGATATCATAATATTAATAAATATTCATTTTTTATTTTAATTTTTTATAATATAATTCATAATAATTTTTGTATTCAATCCACAAATGCATCAATTTTTATCTTTCAAGAAATTTTTATAATTTTCTCCTGTTGATTTATACTAATTATTAAGTTAGAATTAAAATTCTCAATTTCATTATAATTTTTGTACTTGCAATAAGGTAATTATAAAAATAATAGTTATTTGTCAATATACTATCAACTATCATTCAAGTTAAAAATTTACTTTTTATTATCATCATTATTTTTTTAAATAATTTATTAATCTAAAATAGTAATTAATTTTAACCATTAAATATTAAAATAAATTATTATAAGAAATTTACCTTAATATTTATTCTTAAAATAAAAAAATCCTTTATTAAATTAATTTAGAATTCATATATATATATTTTTTAATAAAATAATATTTTTTTATTTTTATTTTAAAATTAATTATTACTCTATAAAATGGGTCAACCCATAAACCTATAAACTAACCTAATCTAAACCCATATAAGTTATAATCTAAATGGGTCAACTAAAAATAAGTCTAATTCAATCTAGATCATAAATTTTTGGGCCTGACCTATAGACCTATTTCTCGAGTATCTCGAGCTAACCATCATACTAAACCTATATATGATACCCTTATCTTTAATTAATCTAAGATTTAAAATAATAATTTACCTTAATTATTATATTAAAAGAAAAATCAATAATAAAAGTAAAAATAAGACTATAATGAATAATTAAATTTTTTCTCAAATTATTGTAATTAATATATATATATATATATATATATATATTAATAAAATCATATTATTTTAAAAATTATTTAAAAATAATAATAATTTTATAAAAATATTTAAAATTAAATTGATTCAAAGTTACAATTTTTTAATATAATACATTTCTTACGTCCTTTAGAAGGATTTATCAATTACCTTGATATACTCTAAAGATCAAAGAAATTCAGTAAAGGGAGAACTTTTGACATGTTTACATGAAACAAAATGTTTTAAATATATATCAATACTTAATAGTCCAACTTATCACCTTGCTTTCTAAATTTTTATAGCTTTATATGTTATGTAAAGACATTAAGAAAAAATTCAATTACATTTCTATTTTTTTTTTCAAATCAATTATATTTATATTAATAAATTTCTACTTATATTTTTATTTTTCTCTTTCACTTTATCCAAAACTCACTTTTCACTTTATTTTTTTTCTACCAAACTTTTATATTTTTTTAACAAACATAACTTCATAAGTTTTTATTTTTGTTTCATGTAAATGTACTATTTAATTTTTCTAGTTTTTACTACAAAAGTAATTATGATAAAATATTCATTATTGGATAATGATAAATGCTATTAAAACTTTATTTAAAAAGAGAAATGAGTATAATTATTTCGGTAATAAAAAATAGAAAAATAAATAGATTATTTATTTGAAAATACAATACTTTTCTAAAAATTAAATATTAATTAATATTTAATTGTAATATATATGATTTGAAATTATAAAAAAAAATGTGAATGGGTCTCCTACCTTGAATCATCTGATTCATACAAAATATTAACAAAAATGATATACCACATACGGTTAATTATTTATGTAGAAAAGAGAACACAATATAAAAGTTAAGTGAAAAAGATAACACAGAGTACAAATTACGCAACATTAAATTATCATATTAAATTCAAATTAGCAGGCAAATAAAATTTACTAATAATATTGAAGAAATTATTTTAATTATTAATTTGAGAAATTAATGTGATTTTTCTAAAATAAAATATACTCTAAAAAACATATATAATAATTTATTTCCTCAATGAGTATATTAATTGAATTTTTTTAGTAAATATAGTTGTTGTCCCTATTTTTTTTCTTAAAATTTATTTTTAATTCTTATATCTTTAAATTAATTGATTCCATCTTTAAAATTTTACAATATGTTATATGTTTTTTTATACCTAAATTTAATACGAGTAATAGTTTTTTATTATCACCAAATTAATAAAATATATAATTTTAATTTTTATATTTAAATCTAATATTTAATAATAATTTTTATCCTCTAAAAAATTAAATTCATATTTATATAAAATTTAATGACTAATTAGACAACTATTTAAAATTAAAATAAATTTATAAAAAATATAAAAATGAAAAACTTATTTAACCACTACTTATTTTATATATAGTACATGTATTAACATTTATTATTATTATTATTATTATTATTATTATTATTATTATTATACTATATGATATCTTATATTTACCAAAAAATTAGTCTATACTCATACAATGATTTAATTTTTAGACCTCATACATTTCTTTAATATTTATTATTATTTTATATTAGATTATATCATTTATTACTTTTAGAGAAAATTAATAAAAATATCAAATGGTGTATTTTTTATTCTAAAACATAGATAACTTTTACTTTATAAATAAGAAGTTATTTTTCAAATATGAGTTTTTTATTTTCATATTAAAGTTGTGTTTGTAGGATGATTTTATTATTTTTTCATATTAATATAAAATTCATTCTTACTAATATAATTTTAGTTTTTTAAAATTTTGATGAAATATATCTCAAAGAAAATTTAGTGTAGTTTAATTTACACTAAAGTTGTATCAATAATCATATTCTTTTAAAAAAAGTTAAAATTATGTTAATGACTTTTTAATTAAAAAAGAAATGAAATTGTGTATAGAGGTATTTTTTGCGGGTGGCAATAGTGTATATTCTTCTTCTTTAATTACTTCAGAAGGGGAGTGTACTTAAAAAATATATCTCCTAGTTAATGCTTAAACTTCTTATAACAACACCCTCAGACACATTAAAAATGGTTTCATTTTGAGGAGTTTCTTGTCCTGAACTCTTGAACTTATTTCACAAGGTTAGATGAACCTGAAACTGTGAATCACCGAATAGTAGGGCCTTAAGGAGAGACGTGGCCAAAATGCAGCATCAGCATATGCAAGCTCAAAGTTCAAGACTGAAACGCAGTAAGGCAGTGTAATCTTTTGTAAATTGGTAACCAAAATGATTTATGAAGAATAAGAAATAAGAAAAAAGATGTTGATTTACAGTACTGGTTGGGAGAGTTGAAAAGAGTGAATAACATTTACTGTCTTTTCTTGAGATTGATATCATAGTGATGGCTGAGGAGTGATGAGTTGGCGGCCAATAGTGACTCTCCAATGAGAGTGAATGCCATTGATTGCATGCAATGGGAAAGGGTGGAAGAGACATGTGGAAAACCAACAAATGTAACCGACTGGAAAGGGGAAGTGTTTGATGAAACTAGGGAAAAAGACAGGGCGACCAAACCAATCCTCATAGGTGTTTTCATGCATGGCACTCTACACCACACGCGTTATGATGACAGACCCTTTTGTTATAATAAGCCAGCCAGACACCTCATTGGTCTTAGACATTGAGCCTCCCCCTTCTTAAATGGGGCATCGGTTACCTTTCACATTTTCACTCTATTTCCCATTCTACCATTGCATTGCACTATGCATCATTCTGCATTCTTATCCAGTGCTCTTACCAATAGTATCACTATGTGTAACCATGCATGGCCCCACTTTCACTGCCCAATCCCCACATGTCCTCCTTCTTGAGCCTAGCCAACACGTACCCACCGTACAATTACAAGTGTCATTTTCTCCTCCCTTCTCCCTTCATGTTGCCTACCTCTCATTGGCCACTTCCCAATACTTCAATTCCACCAAACAAAAATCATCTCCTCTCACCAACACTACTGTACTCACTCCTCCCACCTCACACCATAACCCTCTCTTCCAACGCCTCACTCCTTTATAACTCTCCCCCTTCTCCCTCTTTCCCATAATGTTCCCCGCACCAGCTTTAGAATCATCCTCTCACTCCTCCTAGAATCCCTTTTCACTACCAGCCTAGAGCATTTGTTGTAGCTTCTCTCAAGCTAATAGCCATGATCAAGACCTTGAATCCTTACCCCAATCCAGCAAAAACTGCTGAGATCATGTCAAGGTACAGACCTATTGCTCCTAAGCCTGAAACCCCAAACTCCATGAGTGATGGCTCTTCCTCTCTCTCCCAGAAGATCAAGCAATCTCCTTACCTTAGGAATTTATGGCCACAGTTGCAAGCCAGACCCACCAGAACCAGAAAGAGAGGTAGAGCTCCTTTGACACTACCCCCTTCCTCCCTCAAGAGACAGAAAACACATGTTTTAGGATTTTGTCCCCCTTGCCATGCAACATCCCCAGCAAAGAACCTTGCCCTGCAGGGTTTTGCTCCTCCTCCCTCCCTTCCTCCTCCACTCCATCTTCCCCATCCTAACCATGGACTTGGAATGCTCAATTGCAGCACGGAAAAAAATACCGTCATCAATCCCAGTTTAGTGACACTTCCTCTTCTTCCTTGTTCTCCTGGCGGCCCTGCATTCAAATTGGACTCAACAACAACAACAACCAAGCCTTGTGGGGGAGGGGTTATAGATTTGAACACCAAAGTGAGTGTTCCTGAAGAGAGAGATCTCTTGCAACAACTGCAAAAGCCAGTTACCAGTAATGTTATACAACCTCAGCCTGTTCGCCCCATTGGCTCTTCCATTAGTGTTGTGTGCATTGGTGAAGACTCAACTCTGCCACCAATGGCTCAAACCCCAAAAAGGTCTCATGAGGTGGAAGAAGAGGTTGAGTCTGAGACCTTGCCAGTTGTCATATCAGACTCAAACCACAGGGTCAGGATGGCAAATTCTGCTTACAAGGAGATGGTGGGTCAGCCAGTTTGTCCTTGGCTGGAGTCTATGGGGAATGGTGGTGCTGGAAATCTCCAATGCAAGAGGATCAGTGGAGAGGTAGCTCTGCATCTTTGTGACCCAAACATTCCAACTTCGTCAAACGGATTCTCTTGCTGGGTGAGGATAGAATGGCAAAGTGAACAGAAGAAGTGCTGTGTTAACGCTTTCTGTGACGTCATGAAGTTGACTTGTGAATCCAGGGACTACCTCTTCACATGGAGGTTCCACACGCGTACCAGGGAAGCTTCTCAATCAAGTTGCACCGCTTGAAATTTGTTAAAATTAATATCATAATCAATGAACATAGTTTTAGCTTGAGGCCAGTACGATGATTACCTTTCTTTTCTGCTATCGATATATATACATATGTACATAGTTATATGGTATTATTGGGGACATGATCAAACATAGTTTTCTATGTTTCTTTAATATAATGTCCACAAGACCTTCTGCCGATCAAAATATGTATCAAGAATCAATCTATATATTTAGTACTTATTATTATTTACTACTAAACTATGGCTATCTTTTATGATCTTTCCTATAAACACTTCTAGAAGTAAATATAGAAAATTAGTAAGAATAAAATTGATTTTTTATAAGCATATACAAAATTCGGTTCACACTTTCACATGAACAAAAAAATCATAAAATGGGGAAATCGCACCGTTTTTTCTGGTCCTTTTGCCGAATGAAACTGTCTTTTTTTTTTTCATGGTATTAATTAGGATGTAATAAAGAGGGTTGAAGAAGCTTGATAAAAACAAGGTGGTGAGATGGAGACGTTACTGCCTCGGGTTTTAAGGTGGTCTTTATCTGACCTGAGGGAGGAAATTTGGGGAAAAGAGAGGAATTTAATGCAGGGGGTGAAGGGAAGTAAAGAGGACATGCACTTGCACACCATTTTCATGTTGTGCATCCACAAAAATGGTGAGAGACAAGAAAGTCCTCTTGAAGCATTGAGGAAGAGACACGTTTTAAATAAGCTTGCCAGTGACGAAGAAGGAAGAAGGAGCAATCACATTCTCACCTTTAAAAGTGATGTGTGAGGCTCGTTTGTTTACGTCCAAAGAGATCACGAGACAGTAACAAAGAAAATATGATATAATTAGTCATAAGTAATGCCGTGTCATCAAGTGTGTTCAGTATTAATGTGTAGCTTAATCAAAAAAGTTTATGCTTTCACACACAAGGAATATAAGAAAAATGTAGAAAAAAAGTAATATAGATAATATATTACCAAAGAACGAATAGAAACATGACACGCATGCACAAGGTTATGTAACAGAAGGTCAATTCTGAGACTTGCTTTGAGATAATATTGTTGTTTGTAGATATGAAAAGTTTAAATATAAGGTTGTGGCTTTTTATGAACTTTTAATAACAACTCCTCCAGAATCCCTATTATGTAATAAATAATCCCCTTATCGTAAAATTGTTTCTAAATGAGGTTTTATTCGTTTTTCTTTTTAAAATAAATATATAAGAATGTAAAGGCTAATAATAGAAGTTAAAATATTATATTAAGTGATTTTAAAATCCCCTAGAGAAATTGTTTCTAAATGAGGTTTTATTCGTTTTAAAAATATATATATAAGAATGTAAAGGCTAATAATAGAAGTTAAAATATTATATTAAGTGATTTTAAAATCCCCTAGAGTAAAATTTAAAAAATGTTAATTATAACCTATATTATATATTAAGATATAATATATTTTTATATAATAATTATAATCAATATTTGTATTTAGTGTAATTATTTTTTATTTGATTTTCATATATTATTAATTATTTTATTATATTTTTAATCAACAACATTAAACAAAGTTGTTAATTTTATGTATATTTATATATGTAAATTTAAGTGTTATTAAAATATGGAAATAATTTATTAGATATTGTGCAAAATTCAAGAGAATTTGACTACTCTAAACGAAAACATATATTATGAAATTATTATTTTTTTGAAATAATTAATATTATGTAAAATGAAATATAATATTTTAATTATATTAAATTAAAATATTTGTAATAGATATTATATGAAAAATATTGTTTACCTAAAAACGTATCATTCATAAAATAATAAAAACAATCTACAGTAACGGATAGATTGTTTTCCATGAATCACTTTATTTAATTAAAATTACAATAGTTAGGTTTTTATATGTAAATATATTAATATTGACTAATTTTTTTATTTTTATCTTAATATTGTTTTCAGTGTCATTATGATTTTTATTTTTAAGTGAAAGAACATACTTTTTTTTTATCAAATCTATTCAATTATTTAAGAGAGAGTGTCACATAATATGATATAGATCGTCATTAATATGATATTAACATCTGTGTTAATAGATTATCTACGTCATTAATAATATGTTAAACAATTGAGTAGAATGTATCGAAAAAATAATTTTAATCCACTATTTCTAAAAAAAATATATTAAATTAACTGAAAATAATAGCAAGACAAAATAAAAAATTTAAGACAAATTAACTTTTCTTTTTAAAAATTTCCTATATGAATTATATCATAAGTAAAATAAGATCGGAGCATTCTCATATATTAATTATCAAGTTTTTCACCAATATTTACAAAAGTTAATTCTCTCTCTAGAGTATAAATGTTACATAATTAATAAATAATATATAAGTTTAGTCTATTTATAATATTTTAATAAATTTCCTATGGTCTTAATTATATTTAATAATTTTAATTAATTTAATAAGTAGTTAGCTTAATTAATTTGCAAATTATTACAAATCTTATAATAAATTATGCATGATGATTGATATATTTTCTATATATTTATATAATATTAATTTTATTAAACTTTATATTTTTTTAATGGTAATCAATGATGATAAATTTAACTGAAATTGGTGTGAGTGGGCCAAGTAAAGAAAAAACTAGTATAAAAAAACTTTAGACAAACCTCAAGGTCAGCAGTATGGAATGAATTTATTTATTAAGAAAATAGTTTCTTTTATAGTTATGTAGCATTCAAATATTTTCTGTTAGGATATTTGTTTGTGTTTTTGTATTTTGTAAAGATTAATTATAGGGTCAAATTTGCTATCTAGTGTAAGAAATCTTTTGGAGGAATATGAAATATCATATTACCGACCTTCCTCCTCCTTCATTCATGCTTGAATGTTTTATATTTGGATTGCGATCCGACATTCAACGTGAGGTTCTCACTTTTCAACCAGTAACCTTTAGCAAGGCAACGAAGTTGGCAAAACTTCAAGAAGACAAATTTGGTTTCACTGCAATCCCCTCTTAACCTAAATACATATTAACTTCGCACTCACCTTCCGCGGCATCGCAACCACCATTATTACCCATGCCATCTTCCCCGACAATCCCTTATAAGCGTCTCTTCTTTGTTACAACTGTGACGACAAATACAACTTTGACCATCGTTGTAAATCTCATTTTTTTTCCTTCTGGTAGATGATGACGATGAACAACCTACCCTTGAAACATCATCACTGGAGTCTTCCCAGTTAGACATTACGAGTTTTGCACAATTGAGCTTGAATGCCCTTTTGGGCCACTTCAACCCAAAGATGTTCTGAGTCACGAGTTATATTTTGGCAAACCCGATCTGGAAATTGATGGATAGTGGGATTTCCCACAACTTCTTACAGTCCATACGGGCTATTGAACTGGGCCTTCCTACTAGCAACTTTCGCTAAAGCGAAAGATGTCCGCTTGAGCGAGTAGAAACAAGAGAACTTTGTCGTATTTTCACTCATGCGATAGTAGGTTTCGCTTGAGCTAGTGCACACCCGAGAAGTTTGTCGTATCTTCACTCAAGCGAGAATGGAAGACGCTTGAGCGAGTGAACTCCTGAGAGCTTTAACGTATATTCGCTCAAGCGAGCATAGATGACGCTCGAGTGAATTTCCGGTTGAAAATCTTCTTCTTTATTTCACTTTTTCTTCAATTATCTTCACAATTATAATTTTTGCTCTTGTATCAAGGTATTCTACCAATTTATCCTACATTGGGAGAAAAATAGATTAAAATCAATAATATTTAATGAAAGAAAAGTTGATTACAAACGAAGATATAAAAGAAAAGTCAAAGAAAAAGCATGAAGAAGATTTCTTGAAGGAACTTGATGATAAAAATATAGATGAAAAAACCGTTTTCAACGTCTATCAAAGAGTCAACAGTAATACCATGAAGTTTGAAAGAAACAAAGGAGATGAAATTGATAAAGGAAGAAATACTTTGATGAAGAAAATGAAGTTGAACGAAGATGTGATCCCATACAAAAAGGAAGATAACAAGAAGTACAAACAAAAAAGGAGGAAACATTATAAGCAAAATAAAAGAAAGAATATCAAATTCAAATAAATAGATATTAAAGTAAGGAGGAATGTTGAGAATATTACTTTATTATCTTTTAATTAAATTAGGTATTAAGAGATTTTATTATCTTTTAAGATAGAAGGTAAAAATGTATTAGGTTATTATTTTGATTTAGACAGTTATGATTGATATATTATTGATATTTGATATTTTGTAATATTTTTACTATATATATATATATATATATATATATATATATATATATATAGTACATGAATAGAAATATACGTATATGATATATCAGAAATACATATACAAAAAACTCTAAAATTTCTCATCACATTCTTTCTGAGAACTCGGTGACTTTCCACTAAAATTTAATACTAAAATGTTGTTGTTTATCAAGTCTTCTTCTGTCTTACCAAAACTCTTTAACATCAATTTCAACAATATGTTTATTGCTGCTCCTCCATCAACAACGACTTTGTTCATTGTAACACCTTCAATTTTTATCTTCAACATAAGAGGCTTCATGTTGAATCTCATTTCCTCATTATGGGGATTAATGAGAGCAACATCTCGATGAGGTGACTCACATGATACTTGAGTGACCCATACAACTTTGGGTTGAAGATTTAGTTCATAGTAATCCTCTCAATTCGAATCATGTCTCCTCCAATTCTCCTCATATCGATTTGTGTATTCATTGGCAAAAATCAATATAAGTCCCGCATTGATATTCCCTTGGCTTGATTAATTAAGGTACTTGAGTACACTTGATCACCTTGGCTTGATCCACATCTATCCATATATCCAACTTTCGATATTCTCTTCCAAAATGGTTGTGAAATATTACCCTTTATCTAGGGACCTCCTCAATGAAATCCTTTTGGATATTTAAGATAACCAACATAAAAATTTGGGTTGTATGATGATCTTCAAA